TCTCATATCTCTCATCAGGGAAGGTGGGGAGGTAGATTAAAACACTGGCTATGGTTTGTTTTGTTTTAGTTTTAGTTTTTCCACAACACGCTCTTAAAGAAACTAAATACCCATTATATTTGGAAACTCAAAACTCAAAATAACAGTTACTCTACTATTGGGGTCTTGGCCTAGCCCCAATCTCCTAAACCAGTGATTGGAGAACAGCTTAAATAAAACAGTAGTGTGACTTGGGGGCTTCGGGGAAGGTCAAAAACTCTCTCTCTGTCTCTCTGTTTCTCTCTGTCTCTCTCTATCTCTCTGTCTCTGTCTCTGTCTCTCTCTCTGTTTCTCTCTGTCTCTCTTTCTCTCTCAGGAGTAAAGACAGAGCTCCACTAGCCAGCCCACATTTATTTGGGTTTCAAACAAAGTAAGGGGACACTCATGCAAAGCAGGAACTAAGCTGGACTGTGGGGGTCATTTGAAAGATTTTACCAAGCAGTAAATTTTGCCAACTAATAGAATTATCTTAGCTCTAAGGCTGGCAGCTTTATTGCTCTGGAATAGGAGATGTGAGCAGCCCGTGTCCTCAGCTGCCTCAGCTGTGATATTATCTTGACTTCAGAGAACCATGCATACGCTCTTTTCCAACACAGCCAAAGGACCTTGTGTTCAGCAACTTAGCCCTGTACAGCCTGGTCTCAACACTCTACTGCTGTATAGAAAATAAAACTGTATGACATAGACATTCAATAGCTTGACTTGACCACAGTTATCCTTTGTTTACTCCTTCACAGGGGGACCAGAAGCTGTCTGGGAGTGAAGCTCACAGATAAAGGCTCTACTGAGGGGCGCTGCAGCCCAGGCTCCACCTTCAACACCTCACGCTCACAAAAGCAGGTAAAGCGGTGGCCTCAGGATGGAATAGCACCCGAATAAACTGCAGCTGCCTTTGTTTTTTTAAAACTTGACAGTTGGCAAAGCGCAAACTGGGAGAAGCCTCTTTTCTAAGGTGCTTACATGCATTTATCTTCCTTGTTTATTTCTTAGTATTTACTTGCAAATGTTTTTAAAGTTCACAAGTCTCTTTTAGAATTTTATTCATCCAATAATGTTCATTAAGCATGTGTTCGGTGATGGGGATCTTCTAATCACAGGTGCTACAACCCAATGGAAAAACATAGTTCCTGCACTAAAAGCCTGACACTTTAGGGGGAAACAGGGCTTAAAGTTGAGAAATACTATAATTCAAGAGCATGAGTAGTAAAGATACAACTGTATGTAGAGGCAGAGAACAACTGAGAGGAATGATTTTTAAGAATCATCAGGACATACTTCTCTTTCCTTTTGAAATGAAATGTGATAGAAATGGGAAACGATGTCAGGAAGCCCATCAGCATTGGGAAAAGATCATTTCAACAGAGAACAGAGAAAAGGAGAGTCCTAAACTAGGAAAGGCTCAGGTTTTAAAAACATATGTTAAAATTTTACAAAAGTGTGCCTCAAGCCTGGGGAGAAATGGGATGCACTACAAAGTGTACTGAGGGATGGCCTGTGGGGGAGACAGGACCAGATTAAGGAGGATGTGAATACCTTGATCTGCTTTATAACCTTAGAAGATGCCGCTGACTGCTCTGTGCCCATGGGTTGGAGCTCATGGGGTACATCAGACTCCACTGACTTAGTAGGAAGGATTTGCCCCTTACGCATGCAAGGTTATGACGCCCAGGGCGCCTGGTTTCTTCCACAGTTCTTTCATGGCATTTTTCACCTCTGCATTTCTCAAGGTGTAGATCAAGGGATTCAGCATTGGTACAATGGTAAACGATACAGCCATGGCCTTGTCCACGGGGTACGTGACCACAGGTCTCACGTATAAGAAAATGCAAGGCACAAAGAACAACACGACCACCGTGAGGTGGGAGACACAGGTAGAGAGGGCTTTGTGCCTGCCTTCTGTGCCGGAAGACTTCAGGGAGCAGAGGATGACCACATAGGAAGTGATGAGGATGAGGAAGATGGTCGCACACATCACCCCGCTGTTGAGAATGACTAAGAGGCCCAGGACGTGGGTGTCCATGCAGGCCAGTTTCAGCAGTGGAAACAGGTCACACATAAAGTGGTCGATGACATTGGGGCCGCAGAAAGGTATCTGATACATGAAAAGGAGCTGTATTGTGGCATGCATGGATCCCCCCACCCAAGACCCTGCCACCATCAGGCAGCATGGCCCACGACTCATGGTGGTCGTGTAGTGCAGGGGCTTACAGAGGGCCACATAGCGGTCATAGGCCATCACAATGAGCAAGATGATTGCCACCCCACCAAAGAAATGCTCTGCAAAGAGCTGGGTCATGCAGCCTTCAAGGGAGATGGTGGTGCTCTCAGACAGGAGGTCCACAATCAACTTGGGGACAGAGACAGAAGAGTAATTGACATCCACAAGGGACAAGGATGTAAGGAAAAAATACATGGGTGACCTCAGACGCCGACTGGCAGTTACAGCTGCCACGATGAGTAGGTTTCCCAGTACTGTGACCACATACACAACTAGAAACAGAGCAGAGAGCATTTTCCTCAGCCCTGGGCTCTTGGTGATTCCCAAAAGAACGAATTCAGTCATGTTGTTGCCGTTCGCCATTGAACTCGAGCTGATGAGTGCACATCACACAGCACTGGGAAGACTGCAAAAGAAATATGATTTTAGTAGCAGCCACAGGATGTGCTGAGCATCGTATCTCAAGCCCTACTTACCTGCTTTCGTCACCAGCTAGTGCCACAGAAACAGAAGCTAACGATAGAGCTTGACACCTTTTGGATCCTACTGGTGCCCAGGACAGTACCTCCTCCGAGCAGTATAATTCATTTCTGTTCTGGTGTCTGCTGCCTGTGACAGTTAGCAACCTCTCCTTCATTACTGTAGTGTGTACGTGCTCCCAGAACTGTGATCGCACTCATACCATTGGGTAAAGTCTGGACTAGCAGTAGCTAGAAGTCTATGTATAGATTGGAACCAGCGTAACACAATCTTGAGTTAAATCGTGTTTATTCCCTGTCTCAGTCTTCCAATCTTATTTCCCAGTGCTTCCATTCTAAATAAACTACCTCTACACAAGTCCTTCTGTCAGTTTATACTTTGGGGGAACTTCAGTCTAGGATAGTGACCTTTGCTTTTCATTAGACACACCACTTGGGAAATGTTATATAAATTTTATTTTATGTATTCTATATAGTAATTGAACACAGCATTGCTAATTGAAGATCTAGGAGAAAGGTCATACCTCAAGGACTTTCATTTATTAAGGATTATACTCTTTCTATTTGCATGTCTATTTTCAAAAGTTAAATTAGTAATATTATCATTACTACATATTGCTGACTATCATCACATACCTCCTGTGTCTCAGTGGGAGATCTTACAAAATCCTTTCTTCATGTTTTTAAATTATATGCTGAGGCTCATAGAGTTGAAAGTTCCAACAACTAGTAAACCTTGAAGTCAAATTCAAATTCAGCTTTTCTTGGTTCCAAAATAAATATTAGTAATGATCTACACAGTTCTTTCATGATAATTTCAGGTTCTCAATATCAAGAAGATATTGTCCATCATGATAAATTTTTATTTTTGTAAGAATACAGGAAGATAGATTTACACTTATTTTTGTTTCATTTTTCAACAATACTCTATGACAGTCCTACAATGAAAGTCATATTCTAACCCTGAAAGTAGAAGTCATCACCATTAACTAATTATACAAGTATTCTAATCTTTTGGAAGTGCAGGTTAAAGAAAAAGAAGCCTTAAATCACTTACTCTGTTCCAACAAATCCATAACTAAAAGCTGACTGACATCATCCCTACACATGAACCTAAATCAGTATAAATCATTTGGTAGATAATGTAAATATAGCATTGTGGAAATATCATGTAAATCTATTGTCATTCCTTTCTCATAACTCACTTCTTTGATTCCATTTTACCTTGTAAAGGGATGCTCCTAAATGGAAAAAAAAATAAAGAATTTGAAAGAATAGTGAAAATATGAATTTAAAAAGCACCTTCATTCTGCACTCACTGCATGCCATCAAGGCACTGCACCTGTATGTGCATCACAGCATCTATTTTTCATATCATGTGCGATAGGTACTATCATGAATCCCAGCTTGACAATGAGGAAACTGAGCCTCAGAAGCTTTAAGCACAGATCTTTCCAATCACACTGAGACTCTGAAGAAGTGACCAGCGCCTTCAGCCAGCTCAATAACACTGTTACCTCGGCCAAG